GGCCGCTCCGCGCGGTGCGGAGGGGGCTGCGGGGCCGAGCTGCTGCCCTGCGGGCCGGGAGGGAAGAAAAGGCCGTACACGAACACTGATGTAACGGGAGGCAAAAGGCCGTAGCAGAGCGGCGGCCAGCCCCGGGGCTGAGAGAGGACATGGGACACGGCTTCGACTCACGCCGGTGTCACCCGTAGCTCTGCCGGCCGCAGCCGGGATCGGGGCGCTCCCCCGGGGTCTCTGACCTTCCCGGGGCCCTCAGGACGAGCCCGGCGGCCGCCTGGGTGTTGTAGCCTTGTACCGGAGGACTCAGGGCCTTGGCGTCTTGTTGCTTATTCGATAGGTATTGCCAGTCCCGCTTCTTTCCTCCGGGGTACGTCAGGGCCATGGCGAGCTCGCAGGGGAAACCCTTCCTGCCGCCGGCGGTGGGCACGGGGCTAAGGGAGGGCGGTAGCACCGCCCCGGGCCCCGCACAGCCCCACCGGCATCACCCCGGGCCCCTTCCCGGGCTGTGCCATCGCTTGGCCGGGCTCCAGCGCCTTCGGCAAACGCCCGGGAGCGGCTGGGGCCTTGGGTAAAGGGATACCTGCACCTGGGTAGGTGCAGGGGGAGGCGGCGGCGGCCCCGGACCGGGCAAGGTCGTGCGGCCCCCGGGGCTGCTCTGATTCCCCAAGGGCCTCAAGGCTTGGCGCCGCAGGGGGAGACCCCTGTGATGGGTGACCAGCACCCGGCCGGGTCAGTACGGAGAGGCCGCGCGTTTGACTGCCGTTCGGCGGGGGGGAATCTCTGCCCCTGGACGAGGGCCCCCCTCCCCAGGAGGGAGCGGTGCGGGAGTGTGGGGCTGCTTGGGGGGCAGGCAGAGGTGCCCTCAGGGTCCGCGGCCCGGTTTCACCCACCGGGGGCTCTCCTCTGCGGCTTCCCGGGCTCTGGGCCCGTCGGCGGCGAGATGCGGGCGGGCAGAGCCGGGAGAGGCCGCTTGTCCTGCCAGGCGCCTCTGTCCGTCCGCCGGGCTCCCTGTGCCCGGCCGGGGCTTCTGCTCCCTTCACCCCGAGCCCCCCGCGCCGCTCCCCGGCAGCAGCATGTCCCCATGTCAGCCGGTGCCGACGTCCCGCCTGTAGGATGTTTTCACGATCGTTTTCCGTATTTTATAAACAGAGAGTGCAGTGGATGTAAACTTGTGCAGTTTATTAAACAGCCGCCGTGTCCCGGGCACGGCTGGTGCCCCCTCCCTCCTGCCCCCAGCCCCGCTGCCGAGCGCTCCCCCTCCCGGGCAGGGGACTGCCCTCCGGGCCCCCGGGCTGCCTCCGGCCTGGCCCGGCCCTCGGCCCTCCGCAGAGAGGTCGGGAGAGCAGAGCCAGAGCCCGGCCGGCCTCCCGTTCAGGGAGCGGCCGGGCCTCCCGTTCAGGTCCCACCGGCTTGGGGCGGGGGGCGGCCATCACACCCCTGCTGGCTGGGCAGTGGGCACCCGGCCGGTGGGAAGCTACCGGGGACCTCGCTGTGCACTAACGAACACCCGGCAATGGGGACGCGGGGATTGAGCCACCCAGCAGAGACTTGGCCCACCCCGAGCCCAGGCCACCGGGCAGCTTTGCTGCCGTGCGGCGTCGGGCCCCCGTCCCGGGACAGCGGCAGTCGGGACGGAAGGAGGGGGGCTGTACTGACCCCACGAGCGGGCAGCCCCGTGGGCACGAAGAGCGCGGGCCAGTGGGCGCCCACGGCGGCTCAGCGTTCCCTCGCCCGGGGCCACGGCGCCAGCTCCTCCCGCGGCTCCCACCTGCCCCAGCCCCCCTCGGGCCCTTACGAAAGCAAGCGGCCGAGAGCCGGTCTCTTGGCGAGAGCCGGCTTTGCGCGTTGTGTAAGGCCTTTCCCCGTTATATAAATGCCGGCAGGAGGAAGGCTCCGAGGAGCGGGACGCGCTCCCCGCGCAGTCACCGCCGCACGGTGCCTCCCCCCGGCCTCGGGGTCGCCGCCCGCCGCGGGGCTGCAGGGGGGGCCGGAGCCGGGGCAGGGGGGCTCGGTGCCGCTGGCCCGGCTGAGCCGCCGCCGCTGCCCCGCCGGAGCGGCCCCAGGTTTATGCAACGCTGGCGAGAGATGAAAGCAGAAGAGCGAGGGCTGTTTTCTCCCTGCACGGAGCGGGCGTGGAAGCAGCCTGCCCCGGCCCTGCCGGAACGGGAGCCCGCTGTCCGTGCCCCTCAGGGGAAGGGAAGGGTTTGCTCCCCGGGGCTGAGCGGGCTCCCACCACTCGCCGGTAGCTCCAGCCCCCGGGGGCAGTGCCGGGCCCGGGGGGCTGTTTTGCGGCGGTAGATTTTTTTTTCCCCCTCTCCGGTCCTTTGCGTAGCCCTCGAGCCTTGGCCGTGCTTGGAGGATGGCAGAGCCCTCGGCGCCGAGACCACCCGTCGCTGGCACGGCTCGGCACGGCACGGCTCGGCACGGC